GTCCGGGCTGGGGATTCGAACCCGCCACCTTAGGTGTACGTGGCTGGCGCCTTAGCCGGTTGAGCTATAGGCGCCGAGCCGTCTTTCTGTTTTTTGATACTGCTGTTTGATTCACAAAAGTTTTCCCATTTTTTTTTATGAAGTCCAACCAGCCAGCTGACTGCCATACACCCTATACTTCAACAATGTACAGCCTCTCACTAACCAATGCTATTTCTATAAACCAATACGAATTCCCAATGAACAACTTTTGTAATCACTCCTTTCCTGATTCCTATTTTTCTTTAAAAACTTGAGCCTCTGGCTGGTGCAGTGGCTCACATCTGTAATCTTAGCACTCCAGGAGGTCAAAGTGGGTCAAAGCAGTGTATTGCTTGAGCTGGGATGTTCCAGATCAACCAGAGCAAGAGAGAGACACATACTCCCTCCCCACTAGCACCCCCATACCCCTTCCCCTCCAATCCCCCATTCCCCAACACCCCTCCCCCCACCATCTCTATTAAAAATAGAAAAATTAGTCAGGCATCTTGGTGTATGCCAGTGGTCCCAGCTGCTTGGGACGTTGAGGGAGGAGGAGTACTTGAGCCCATGAGTTTGGGGTTGCTGTGAGGTGTGATGGCTCCACTCTATCCAGGGCAACTGAGGGAGACTCTGATGTTTAAATTAAAAACAAAGAAACAAACAAACAACAATAAAAAAAAAAAAGACCCTTGAGCCTCTCTTGCTTTCCAGAGCACTCCTCACAGCAATTCCGAAGTCTGTCTAAGGCTGAAGTCCTCAACCTTTGCACTTAAACTCTCTTTTGTTGTAACTTAGCCCTCTTTCCCCTGCCCACTCCTGTTCCCCAGCCCTCACCTGTTCCCCCCACCACCACCCTCACCTGTTCCCCGCGCCCTCTCCAGCCCATTTCCCTCCTCCTCCCTTCTCCCCCCAGAGTCGACTCCAGGAACAAGGCAAGTCCCTCCTCCCCCAGGGTGGCCGAGAACGTGCTTCCCAGCCACGTTCCCAGGCCCCCTTCTTCCCCCTAGGGTTGCCAAGAACAAGCTTCAGGTACAAGGAAAAAAGTCCCAAGTTTCACAAAACCCCCCAAAGTTCTCAGTAGATGAACAATGGTGGAAAACTCACTGAGACTTGATTAATTACTGTTGTATAACCATAACCATTGTGATATGAAATGTATCTATTTTCAACTGAAACTGTATTAATTATTGTTCCATTGCTGTATCTATGACTACCTGAGTTGTAACCTCTCTTAACCAGTCACGTTTCACTTCTGTAATATGCTTACACAAAGCCTATAAAAGGTAACTCACACTCTCACTGGGTGCTGACTGTCTCTCGGAGCAGCAGCCCCTGCAGCAGGTAAAACAAATTACCAATTAATTAACCTAAGTGAGGGTCCAAGTCTATTTTTCCAGGTCCCCTAAATTATTTCACTTTAAACTAGATTTTGATCTTTTTGATTAATTTAGCTTGACAGGTGTCTTTTTTAGTTATTTGATTCAGGATCCCAGCAAAAGACACATGTTGCATTTAACTGCTATGTCATTTGAATCTCTTTTATTTTATGAGTCTCCTTCTGCTCCCTTCCCTTTTTTGATGTCATTGGTATGTTGGATACCATGTCTTTTGCCTTGCAGAATGGCCCACATTCTGGATTTGGTTGAAATCTCACTGTGCCATTTACATACAAACAACTGAGCTGCCAAAGTTGGGGATCTCGGAAACAGAGTAGACCTTACAAATAATAGCTAATAGCTAGGTGGCACAAACTGGGCCATACATACATGATCTCATTTTGTCCCCACAACAACCATGGGGGTAGGTAGTACTATAATCCCCAATACATGGTCGAGAACAGTAAGCTCAGAGAGGTTAATTTGTTCAAGGCACACAGCTAGTAAGGGGTGGAGCCAGAATTTAATCTAGGCAGTCAGGTTCTAGCCACTGTGTTCTTCTCTGTTTCAAGATTTCCATCTAGTCATAGAAACTCTTTGTGACAGGGAAATGCTGAGATTGAGGGAAAGACTCTAAGTCAGATCTTTCTTTTCAGAGGCAAGTGATTTGAAGTGCTTCCCTCGCCTTAGTTATACAAATAAGTGTTCAGGCAGCTATTTTCCTAGAAGAAACAGGGTCCTTTGAGACACATGTTATCTTCACTTTAGAGATGAAGAAACTGAGGTCCAGGGAGGTGACATCCTTTACCCAGGTCTCTCTTCCTCCTAAGCAAGGACTCTTTCCCTCAGCTGCAGTCTTTCTAAGCACCGATTCTGGACTGACGGACTGGCTAAGGTCTGAAGGACAACCACACAGAGTTCAGGTTCTTCCCTAGAGTCACAGGGTTCTCCCACGACTCCACCAGGGATGGCTGAGCCAAGCCTGAGGCAGGGAATGCTGATCCCAAGGTGCACCTGCAGGAAGCTCAGGAACACAGGGGATTTACTGGCAATCAGGTGTGGTCTAGCTGGTCAGCGCCTGACTGACTCACTGCTGTGGTCCTTCTGTGATACGAAGCACTGCAGAGAGGGCTACACTGGTGATTTCCTGGAGGCACCTGTGGTACACAACCTACTAACCTTCTAAAGTCCAACCCCAACAGCCACACACTTCCAGGTCACCTTATATCCTCACCTTTCCTTCATTCTCACCTTTCCACTTAAGAAATAAGGCCTCTTTACCCCTTCGGTTGGAGCCGGAATGGAGAAGAAAGCCAGAACAGAGCCCAGACCTGCTGGGAGATTGGCAAGACCCACTGGAGACGATCTGTACTCAGGTAGGAGCAGTAATGGGAAATACACAGAAATGAAGTTCCCATCCTGTTGTGGTGCATACTAGCTGGGCACTGTGCTCAAGCTCCATGTCTTCAGTTACCTCATCTGTAAAATCAGGATAATCTACTTCAGGAGGCTGCTTGCTTTATCTGTAAAGGGCCACAGAGTAATTATGTTAGGCTTTCTGGGCCAGATCAGACTTCTGGTAGAGCTAGATTTGGTGTACAAGCCAGCAGATCCTTGATATACTTCACTGAGCTATTGGGAAGAACTGACAGATGTGACTCTGCTCTGTGGACTGTACAGTGTGGAGCACTTGGTAGGAGTCTAAGGGACAGTAGATGTAATTACAAACATAAGCTCTGGGCCACCACTCCCCAGGAGCCCTTCCAAACAGAAAAAGACGCGGGCCTTGCAGGTCCACGTGCCTGGGCTCGACAGGGCTTTGCCATGGGCCTCCCTGTGACCCCCGCGGGCCGCAGGACCATTGACAATTAAACTAGACGATCAACAGCGCCTTTCAGGGGCACCCAGCGCCAACCAGAGCTGTTCATCTCTTCTCTGGGCCGTCGCAGGTCACAGACCCCGCCCTACATGCATAGGTTAGGGAAGGAGTCTGCGCCACCGGCCTGAGCGCCCCCAGGGTCCCCCACTTCTTATCGGCCCCGTCCCCCGAATTCCCCAACCCCCGCCCCGCGCGCACAATTTGGGCGTTTTGGCTCCACCCCGCTCCCTAAAGTCCCCGCCCCCTGGGCCTGGACCGGCATGCTTTGCGGCCTCTCCGCCTCACGCTCGTGTCGCGGCGTCCTGGGCGGTATCGGCGTAGGAGGTGAGCGTGCGAGGCCGGGCTGGGGAAAGCGCGGGGCCACTGGGCTTGGACCCCTTTCTGACTTCCCGCGCGTTCAGACTGCGGAGTAGCCTAGGGAACCTGGGGTAGAAGCTTGCCGGGGACTCCTGTTACCCAGCCCGCTGCGTGCTGCTCGGCACAGCCTCCGAGGCCCACCCCAGAGCGTGGTCTTGGTGCTGGTGCTGGCGCTTTGGGACGTTGGCCCGGCAGGACCGACGCTTCCTTTTCTACCCTCAGTTTATGCGTTTTGGGGAAAAAAGCCCAAAGAATATGATTCTTACAGGAGTTCTTGGTTTAAATACACCAACCAGTACCCTGCCTTCTTGTTTGCAGTAACTTCATTGCTAAGTAAAACATTGCTAAGTAATCACAGGGATACAGAAAGCTTCAAAGTTAAATAATTGTGAATGTTTACCGATATAGTTACAGATGAAACTATAGGTTGCTTGGGATATTTTAAAATATACCAGTGGTGTATATTTTAATGGAAAATAAATAAACGGCGTAGTGGCTCATTCCTGGAGTCCCAGATACTTGGGAGCTTGAGGCGGGAAGATTGCTTGACCCTCAGGAGTTTAAGGTTGCTATGAGCTAGGCTGATGCCATAGCCTTCTAGCCCAGGCAACAGAGTGACACTCTTGTCTCAAAAAAAAAAAAAAAAGTGGGGTGTGGGTAGGAAAAGAAATGAAACACGGTAGGGTATGAGTTGGTATGATTGAAGTTGATGTACTATTTTGTCTGCTTTTGTATATATTTGTAATTTAGCATAACATATTTTCTAAAGTGAAGTTTGCTGAATTCGAATACTGTGCTTGTTATGGTCTCCTAGGGCTATCGTAGCAAAGTACCACAGACTTGGTGGCCTAATTGGCAAAAATTTATTTTCTCCTTGTTCTGGAGGCTACAAGTCTAAGACCAAAGTGTTTTCTTCTGAGCCTTCCCTTCTTAGCTTGTAAATGGTTGTCTTCTCCTTGGATCCCAGATGATCTCTGTGTTTGTATCCTAATTCTGCTTATAAAGACACCAGTGAGATTGGATTAGAACAATGTTTTTCAACCTTTTTCACCTCACAGCACACCTAAACCTTTAGTTAAACTTACATGGCAAGCTTGAATTATGTTGATCCAAAAAAAGAGAATTAAAAAAAATATGCTTACTGGACTTTAAATGTCTTTTGAAAATAATTAATGATCTTTAACCATTTTCATGCACACTCGTTGAAAAATCACTGGATTAAAGCCTAGGCTAATAACTTTAATTACCTCTTTAAAGACTGTCACCAAATACAGTCACAGACTGGGATCCTAAGGTTAGGACTTAAATGCAAGAATTTAGGGTCCACAATTCAGATCATAACACTGCCAACTTTACTAGCATATGGTTTTGTCCAGTTTATTTACCTTGCCTGTGCTTCAGTTTTCACCCCTTTAAACCTTGGGCAATAGTAGTAATTAACTCATGGAATGGATTGTGAGGATTCAGTTGTTGGATAATAAATGTAAGCTTTCAAACTGTATGTAGTGTATAGTAAGTACTTTATAAATTGAATACATGGTAGGATCTGTGCACAGGGAGTGCTCTTGACCATCATGCTCATGGCTTCCATTAAAAAGGGTGTGGCCCTTGGAGGATGTTTAGACTGCAGGCAAGCCTGGGGAACTGTTGGCTAACTTCTCTTTTTTTCTTGGCCTAGGTTGTCAGCTGAGGCAGCACTCATGGCTGGTTTCATGTGGCGTGCTGCAGCATTTGTGCAAAGACACAGGAAAAGCCTCTTGGTAGGTTCCTGCACAGGCCTATTTGGGGTTCAGATTTCATACTACCTCTTCCCAGACCCTGTGATCCAATGGCTGTACCAGTACTGGCCTTACGGCCAGCCAGCACCACTCTCTCCAAAGCTGCAACACCTCTTCCAGGAGGTGCTACAGGACATAGGTGTGCCCTTGAGCCATCGCTACAAGCCCTTCACCACCTTCACCTTCCAGCCTGTAGTTGCAGGCTTCCCAAGACTTCCTGCTGGGGCTGTGGTAGGCATCCCTGCCAGCTTCCTAGGGGGCGTAGTGACCAACACTGACCATCTTGTAGTTGTACACGGGCAGAGAGTAAACTGGCAGAGCCCAGTAGGTGTCCGGCTGAGAGATGCACTGACCCTGTCCCATGATGCCCAGAAGTTTGCTTTGGCCAGGGAGGTGGTATACCTGGAAAGCAGTGCAGCTGCCTTGCAGGCTCTGCTGGCCCCAGCTTGCCTGGCAGGGACCTGGGCACTGGGTGTGGGTGCCAAGCATGCCTTGGGGCTCTATGGAGGCCCCATGAATTTACGGGCTGCCTTCAACTTGGTGGCAGCGGTGGTAGGCTTTGTGGTCTATGCTTTCTCCATGGACTCTCTCACTCATTTCCTGGAAGCATGGCAGGACCGTCGCACAGCCTCCCTCTCTGCAGCCTACGCCCAGGGTGGAGTGGAGTTCTATGAGAAGATTCTGTCAGGCAACCTGGCCCTGCGCAGTCTTTTGGGCAGGGAAGGGGAGAAGCTGTATACACCCAGTGGGAACGTTATCCCCAGTCACTGGTTCCGGATCAAACATTTACCCTACACCACCCGCCGGGACTCTGTGCTGCAGATGTGGAGGATGACACTGAACCCAGGTCGCTCCTGATACGCTCATCATGAGGACAGCACCAGTTTGTGCAAGCACCATGCTGCCATTGATTCTGAGGGGCTCTCTTGGTGCTTCTGCACCCACAACCCGAGGTCAGAAAAATCACAGACTTGAGAATTAAATAGCCCAGATTCTACTTGATGAATTCACCACACACTAACTCATTGACTTTGGACAAGTCTCTTAATGAATCTGAGCCTTGGTTTCCCGAACTATAAAGTGGGAAGATGATATAAACTACCTCAAAGAATTGTAGGGTTAGGTGAGATCAAGAATTTAAGGGCCAGGCAGAGAAGGCATGCCATAAATAAATAGAATGTTCCTCCTTCTTGGCATTTGATTGCCATTGGGCTGTGGGAGTCAAGCTACCCCTCATTACCAGAGGTTCTTGCAGTATGTGAACACTTTCTTGCAGCAAAGAAACACCCCTCAGTTTGCCTGATGGACCAATCCCAATTTTCCTCCACTGTGGTAGAGATTAAAAGGTTTAAGAGATCACTATAAGAAGTTAATGTGGGCCTGAGAGGCTATTTTAAAGTGAGGCCTCTGCCAGACATAGTGGCTCACACCTATAGTCCTAGCACTCTGGGAGGCAAAGTTGGGAGGATCACTTGGGGTCAAGAGTTTGAGACCACCCTGAGCAAAGCAAGACTCTCATCTTTAATAAAAATAGAAAAATTAGCTGAGTGTTGTGGCAGGTACCTGTAGTCTCAGGTATTGGAGGAAGGGAGCTGAGGCAGGAGGATCTCTTGAACCCTGGAGCTTGAGGTTACCGTGAGCTAGGCTGAAGCCACTGCACTCTAGCCTCGGCAACAGAGCAAGACTCTGTCTTAAAAAAAAGAAAAAAGGTGGGGCCATAAGGGTATTGTGTCATTTGGGGTCCAGCAAATGCAGATGCCACTTAGCAGGAACTAACACTGGGTGGAGGGGTATCAGGAGGGAAGGGAAGTATTTCCAGAATCTATAAAGAAAACTTGTGGCTGGAGGACCTGAGGGGCAGGGAAGTATTCCAGAATCTGTAAAGAAAACTTGTGGCTTGGGAGACTTGAGTTTTGCCTGAAGGAAGGGGAACATACCACTGCAAAACAGTCCTGCAGGGAGGGAGCCTGCTGGCGCTGAAAGCCTCAGCGTGATCAGCCTCCCTGGGCATTTGATATGGCCAGGGCTTGGGAAGTGAGGTGCGGATGGGCTTGGCTTTTAGGGGGCAGTGAGGAGAGCAGAGGGGTGGAGGTGAGCAGTGTACTGGGCCGTTAGTCCCCTGGAGACCCATAGGAGGTTTGTTTCCCTTGAGCTCTGGTGGTAGATGGCAGATCCTCAGTTTTGATCCTTGGCTGGTGAGCTGGGCAAACTGGGCTTCATGGGCATCATTTCATTGCAGACTTTTTTCCCAGGGTGAGTTGTGAAGAATTCAGGCCTGGCACCAGTGTAACTCAGGGCAAAGGGATTAGGCCACATACAGGGAAGGGTGCTAAGTGGTGGCAGGCAGCTCCTGGCAGGAGACCTAGAGAGGAAAGCAAACTAGGGAAGAGAGCACAGGATGCAACAGGGTGGCATTGTGGGGATGCAGCAGGTTGCCCATTGTGGGCTGGAGCTGAGTTGTGTATGCCAGCCTGTGGATCCCCACAATGGACAGGCTGGTGCCTGAGAGTGGCTGATTCTCTTCTCTTGTAGGTCCCTGCTGCCTAGATTGTTTGGGGGACATGCTTGATGAGAACATAGGTGGGTGGATGAGGTAGGGACTGTGTGGGCTCTAAGATATACTACTTAAAGGGCTCCTTGGGTATTCACTCAGCTGCTGTACATTAGGGGCCATAAGACCATGTGAGGTCATCTCATTCCTAAGAAGCAGGGCTAGGGGCCTGAATTTGATGGGCTACACCTTCTTACTACCCGCCCACCTTTGTCTTCTCAGTACTACAAGGAGCTGTGGTGGTGGCACAAGGCATTCCTGCTGGGCTGCCCCAGTGTGGTGTCTCTCTACTTCAAGTCACAGATTTTGTCTCTGCTAATGTTTCTGGTCCCCACACAGCCTTACATACCACCACTCCCAACCATGTGTGTGCACACCTGCAGAATGCCCAGAATGCCTCTCCTCATTGCACTATGTTCTGTGCAAAGCCAGAACAGGCCATCTCAAATCCTTCCTCTGAGACCCCTCTCAACAGCTTGGCCTGCAGACCCCAGCCTTTCTGGGGCCCTGCTGGGGCCCAGCAATCCCTCTACCTCCCACTGTGGCTGATCAGCACCCAGCCATCATGTTTCCCCTTGCAGTGGCTCTCAGCTCAATCCACCTTCCTCTCCACTGGGCTTCCTGGCTCTTCTCACAGCTCTTGGAAGTGTAGGTCTGATCGGGCAGCTTTTCTCCTGCTTAAAACCCTTCAGGGACATGACCTTGCTTTCTGGCTAAAGCTCCCATCTGGCATCCCACTTCCCCCAGGTCTACAGATCCTAGCCTTAACTACTCTCCCTTCCTTCCCCATGTAGGCCTTGTGTTTGCTGTGTCCTTGTTCAGTGACGCTGTCTCCTGACCTGGCCCTTTACTCAGTTATTTAGTGCTCTTGCTGCAGGAATGATCAGGGACCTAATTCCTCCAGCATTGTTCCACCTGGGGACTCTCCTCTATCCCTTGTCAGATACCTGTTTATGACCTATCATGTACCCTAAACGTCTTTCTAGCCCTCCTAACTGGTTAAGACACAGTGGAGTTAATGGTTTAGCATCTTCTCTGCTGAAAAGTAGTATCTACAATGTCAGGATTGTGTCTTGTTTACAGCTCTGGACTGAGGCTCTCCATAGTATTTTTTAATAAATGAACAGGGCTCTAAACTACATCACACACAGCCCCAGCTCCCTAAAATCTCAAGTTACAGTAAGGCTGGCTGGATGCCCTGGATGAAGCCATTTTGAAGTATACCTGACCCTGTCCTGTCTTAACTTTCCAAGGTCAGGGCTCATCCCCAATCTATGATTGCCTTCAGTGGGGAAATCAGGACACTTCTGGGTCACTTCCTGTAGGGCACAGATTACTGCCCAGGGTGCCAGGGACCCTACAAGGCCTTAGGAGGACTTAGTGACATCTTGTGCCCCTACACACAGATGGAGGGCTTGATACCAGAAAGGTTAAGAAACGTGTGCAGGTGAGCCAGGTGGCAGGAAGTTACTATGTAAATGTCACCCTGCATCTTTCCTTTTCAGATGCCCACTGTGTGCGACAGTCATCAGCTGTATGCCCTGAATCCCTAGAGAACATTTTTCTACTGACTTGGGTCCTGCTTCCCCTCATCTTGAGTTCATGGTTCTCTGGGTAAAAATGTACAACAATGCCCAACATCCCAGAATAATCATGCACAGACCCAGACCAGGCTGACCTACAGAAAGCCTATAGTAACACTGAAAGACCACCCCTTCACACTGCACGTATGCACATGCACATCCAGACACAGGATGCAGGGAAGAGTCCCAGAGTTTGGCACCAGTGTTTGTTCTGCACATCCCTGACCCTGTCTTCACCCTTGGCCACAATGCAGGACCCCACTTGGAGCTGGACACACACATGTGGAACCTGATCCCCATGTGTGCATGGATCACAGACTTAAGTTCTACATGGATGTGCAAATCCCCACCACCTACCAGGTGCCTTTATTATGTACCTGACTCTATATACTATGTTCTTGGAGGCATTTTTTCACTTATTCCCAATTGAGGCATGTAATTTGTGATATTTCAATTTTATAGGCAAGGAAAAGAGCCCAGAAAAGTGAAGAAATTTGCCCTAAATCATAAAGCTTTGTAAGTGGCAGTATAAGGATTTTAAGCTGGCAGTCTGGCTCCATATACCATTCTCAAAATACTAAATTTATACTGGCCTCTTACCCTAAAGTTTCATGCTATAGACTTATACCATGAATTCTGTAGGCCTTCTCATGCTGGTTTAGAGGTGACGTTTCAGGCTCCTTTCATTAGGAAAAAATGGTCACTGAGCAGAAATTCCAAGAAGACCCTTCCAGCTCACTAAGAAGGAAGGGACACCTTATCTAGTGCTGAAGTGGGAATGAGACACAGGGCAAGGTGTCACGAAGCTCTGGGAGGCACCAGTGGAGGACTAAGGGGCCTTAGGAGGCAGGGAGTAGGGGATCAGCTCGCCATGGCTTCAAATCTTGGCACTACCACTCTGGCAGAGTGACCTTGAATATGTGATTTCATACTTCTGGTCCTGAGCTTCCTATCTGTGAAGTAGGGATATTTATGTGTATTTTGTAGGATTGTTTTGACAAAGTGAGAGAAAGTTTGCAAAATATGGAGCCTGTTGAGGGTGTATGGTGGACTTTAAAGGAAGATTGATGTCCTAAATTTTAGTGCTGTTAAATGGTATAAATTATTCATTTGGCCCTCAAATGCCAGTAATTGCTTGGGACTGGAACTATCCCCGAGAATTCACTGGTGCCCTAATAACAGCTTTATTTTAAAGTTTTTCAAAGCTCCAGTTGGGGCAGTTCTTTAGGTTGCTATCAGTTGACATCTTTAGGAAATGACCTAATTACTTGATGGCAACTGAGAGCAGAGGACCCAGGGTGGCTTTAGGGGAGATGCTGGGCGTTGAAGTGGGAGATGGTCTTTTATACTTACCATACTAGTAATTTTTAAGTACTAAAATATTGTATTGGTAAGGTTGTGGTAATACTTATAAAATATGCTCTTGGGGTGGTACCTGTGGCTCAAAGGAGTAGGGCGCCAGCCCCAGATGCCAGAGGTGGTGGGTTCAAACCCGGCCCCAGAAAAAAACAAAAAAAAACATGCTCTTGGTGGTATCTTTGGTGGGCAACCTCTAAGATGGCCCACAGTAGTCCCTGGTCCTTGTATTCTTGGCTTTGGGTAATAATTCACTTCCCTTGGTTCTAAGCACTAGAATATGGCAACATTGAGGGGAAGTCTGTTTTGTGATTAAGTTTCAAAAGACGTTGACTTCATCTTAGTAGATTATTGTCTTCTCTTCTTGGTTTTACACGTCTTATCTTGAAGCATGTGGCCTTGTTGAAGAGGCCCACGTGGCAAGGAACCAAGAGTAGCCTCTGACCAAGAGCTAGTTAAGAGCTGAGGCCCTCTGTCCAACAGGATATGAGGAACTGAATCCTGCCAACAACTGTGTAAACTTGAAAGAGAATCTTTCCTGGTCAAGCTTTCTGACAGTCCTAACCTCAGCCAACACCTTGATTGCAGACTCTCTGCTAAACCCTGCCTGGATTCCAGACCCACAGAAACAGTAAGGCAATAAATGTGTGTTGTAGTAAGCCACCAGGTGTTGTAACTTGTTAGGTAGCAGTAGACAACTAATAATACATAATGTTTTTAGCAAGCAGTTGACAAAACTTGATCTAATCACAAGGCTATCTTTTGATTAACTTCAAATCTATAGATTTTTCCTATGGCTATAATCCGACAGAAATACTTTATGTCCAGTGAGGTACGTAAGAGTGTGAGGTATAAATTTAAAAAATATTAATAGGAATAAAGGAAATGTTGAATAGCAGTGACTTAAGAAATTGTGGTACATCCACTTGTTGAATATTGTTGAGCCACAAAAAAATTATCATTATGAAGA